TGCTTTTACTGTTTCTTTTTTAGGGGTGGGGTGCTTTTGTTTTGTTTGTTAGAAGTTGTTGTTGTCTGTTTTGTTGGTTGTTTTTTGTTTTTGTTGTTGTTGTTGTTTTTTTTGGGGGGGGATAGATTCTGTTAGCAGCAAGTTGATATTTAGGCCTACTTCTCGTTTTTGCAAACCGACAAACGAACGACCTAACACTACACAACAAAGCAGCCCGTATCGGATGCATGTTAGCTTTTAAGCGCTATACAATCTTCACCTTGTTAGACTCTCAGTCTCGATCCACGAAGATATTTATCACAGTTACGAACTGGGCCTTAATTGCATCACGCATTGTAATAATATCAAGTGACAAGTACAAGCGTAGACATGCATGACCCTCAAGTAAATAGATTCATTAAAGTTAAATAGTTGGAAAGACAATGGCAACCTTTCCCCGGGGAAAAAAGAGTGACAGTTCATGTTATTGCTACCCTGAAAAGTAGGGGGATGTGTAGAACACTCTGATGCACCCGTCAACCAACCGAAAGGATTTGAAAACCGAAAGGATTTCAAATCCTTTCTTTTTTACTCACCCCATATGCCAATCCAAAAGCAGACTTTGGGTGAAAAAAGGAGGAAATATCAGCAACGTCACTCCCCTGCTGTCTCAAGGCGTGAAAAGTACAAAATTTAATGAGGAGGGGCGCTTGTTTATTTGTTTATTTTTTCTTGGGGGGTGCTTTTGTCTTGTTTGTTTGTAGTTGTTGTTGTCTAGGTTTTTAGTAGTTTTTTGTTGAGTTTTTTGTTGTTGTTGTTTGTTTGTTTGCTGTTTTTTGTTTTGTTTTGTTTGGGGGGGATATTTTGTTAGCAGCAAGTTGATATTTACTTCTCGTTTTTTGCAAACTGACAAACGGACGGCTTAACACTACACAATAAAGAAACCCGTATCGGATGCATGTTAGTTTTTAAGCGCTATACAATCTTCACCTTGTTAGACTCTCAGTCTCGAGCCACGAAGATTATCACAGTTACGAACTGGGCCTTAATTGCATCACGCATTGTAATAATATAAAGTGACAAGTAGGCTACAAGCGTAGACATACATGACCCTCAAGTAAACTTGATTAATTAAAGTACATGTACTTGACCTCATTTGTACCTCAATTTTCAAAAAGCACTGCCAGCACATAGTTCTGTAGTGACAACGTCGAGCTTGCACGAGGCATGATTTTTTAAAATAGTTTTTCTAAAAAAAAGATTTATTTTTTAAAAATACCTCATTTTTCAAAAAATACCTCACAGAGTGTATTCCTAAGCACATTCCACTGCCGCCGCCGCCGATAATGGAGCTGTGACATTAACGCAGAGCTCGATTCTGTTTTGACAGCAAAACACTCTCTCAACACGATGACGCATTCCAATGGGATTAGTTTTATCTAATAGCCACTACTAGGAGTAGGAAACGCCTTTGTTCCCACCTGGTGCGTGATGCGCAAATACACAGTATCACCCACACCCACACACACACGCACGATCTAGAATAAAACTTCGGGTTTTTATACTTTATACACACAATTTCAAAAACAATGAAAATACATGTATGCCAAGGTTTGTATCTCCTATACATAAACACAGAAGCGAACTGGAACTATTTTGGTACATTACTAAAAGTGTTGCTACAGTTGCAACACAATTACGTCATATACGTGCTGAAGATTAGAGGTACTACAGGAGAGTAACAAACGCAAAAAGGTGAGATAAGGACGATAGATCATTAGATGTTTTGTTGTTTTTAAATAGTAGAGGGTTTTATGGCGCTCGCAACTGCATAAGGTCGTATGAGCGCCAAGGGGTGGGTGTCAACAAAGAAGTCTTTACAGGGAATCAGACTTATTCTGCTCACCTCTCTGGCTTCAACAGCACAAGGTCTGCTTCGACTATCAAGGCACCCCGGAAACAGCAAATTACAAGAGAGTGACAAACATACAAAAGAAGTAGAGGAAATGACAATAGTAAGGGTTACGAAAGAAAAAGCAGCAGTTCCCTGTTGTAGATCAGGCACAGTTATGAGCGTGAAATGAATTAAAGAGAAGCACGTCAACACAACAATAGCCATTTAATTTAGTGCAGGGGAAAACAGGATAGACCGATCACGTGTTAATCCCGTTCCGCGTTAGATCTAGTAGTTGACCATCATAAATGGGTTTTCATACTTTGCACTAGTCAAAAACATTGATCTGTTCAATTTATTTCATACTAAGTTCCATGAGTTTTATGGATACCAGTGGTCACAAAGTTTCTGTAGCCATGATGCACAAAAGTGTTACATACAAAGATTTGTAATAAATAAGTACGGAGACAACAACGAAACTGAAAACCAACCACTCTGCAAATTGTTGGCTTTTGTCGCTATTCCTCTTGTGGGTGGAGGGGGGAGGTCGGTTTCAACGTTTAATAAGCCTTAATAGGGCTAGAGAGGCCATCATGTTGTAGTTGATGAAAACTCAGCTGAGCGAAAAGATATCGCAGTATAGAATTACAACACCTCGAGAGAGAGAGAGAGAGAGAGAGAGAGAGAGAGAGAGAGAGAGAGAGAGAGAATATATATGCGTGTGCGTATATAACCGTTACACCACAGACGCCGGTACTGACGTATGTTGGATATATTCCTAGGTATGCGTTTAACCACTCCTGTGACTGATTGTTTCGACTGTTGCCAGTGGGAGAATACAAAGGCAGCAATGTGACCAAGAGATGAATGAACAAGAGCCCCCGGGGTCAAACAGATCAATAGTATTTCATGTACAGTACATGTAATTCCAAGCCGTGGTCTCCGAATGATACGAGCGAAGAGGAGAGGAATGATAACGTGCGGCGAGTTGGAAAGACAATGGCAACCTTTCCCCAGGAAAAAAAGAGTGACGGTTCATGTTATTGCTACCCTGGAAAGTAGGGGGATGCGTAAAACACTCTGATGCACCCGTCAACCAACCGAAAGGAATTTTTAATTAAATCAAACAATGGAAATGATTGGATTATTGGGGGGGGGGGATATTTACCGCAACAACTGTTACTCGCAAAATAGCAGGGACCATATTTCAACGTTATCATAACAATAGAAGAGAAGAAGGTTCGTTCAAATCCTTTCTTTTTTACTCACCCCATATGCCAATCCAAAAACAGACTTTGGGTGAAAAAAGTAGGGAATATCAGCAACGTCACTCCCCTGCTGTATCGAGGCGTGAATAGTACAAAATTTTAATGCGATGGGGTGCTTGTTTATTTGTTTTT